TTTGCATATACCTACCCAATGTTCCCAACACCATTTATTGAAGAGACTGTCTTTACTGCATTATATACTCTTGCCTCCTTTGTCAAATATTAACTGAGCATAATGTCTTGGGTCAATTTCTGGATTCTCTGTTCTGTTCCATATATGCTTGTTCTTGTGCCAGTTCCAGGCCGTTTTGATTAGTATAACTTGTTATCTGGTCTTGTGATCCCTCCAACTTAGTTCTTTCTCAAGATTGCTGTTCTGGGTCTTTCACGGTTCCATGTAAATTTTTGGAGTGTTTGTTCTAGATCTGTGAAATATGTTGTCAGTATTTAATAGGGATTGCATTGAATCTGTAGATTGCTTTGGGTAGTAGGGATCTTTTAATTATGCTGATTCTAATAATCCATGAGCACAGTATATTCTTCCACTTGTTTATATCTTTCTCTATCTCTTTTTTCAATGTCCTGTAGTTTTCAGAGTACAAGTCTTTTACTTCCTTGGTAAAGTTTACTCCTAAGTATCTTAATTTTTTTGTTGCAATGGCAAATGGAATTGTTTCTTTAGTTTCTCTTTCTGAGAGTTAATTATTGGTGTATAAAAAAGCCATCGATTTCTGGGTGTTAATTTTATATTCTGCTACATTGCCAAATTCATTTATTAAATCTAGTAGTTTTTTATGGAGTGTTTAGGGTTTTCTATGAACAAGTCACCTGCGATTAATGACAGTTTTTCTTCCTCCTTTCCAATTTGGAAGCCTTTTATTTCTTCTTCTTGTCTGATTGCGATGGCTAGCACTTCCAGTACTATGTTGCACAGGAGTGGTGAGAGTGGGCATCCCTGTCTTGCTCCTGTTCTCAGGGGAAATGGTTTTAGTTTTTGTCCATTGAGTATGATATTGGCTGTAGGTTTGTCATATAAGGCTTTTATTATGTTGAGGTATAATCCCTCTATTCCTACTTTGCTAAGAGTTTTTATCAAAAAAAGGGTGTTGGATTTTGTAGAGTGCTTTTTCTGCATCAATTGATATGACCATGTGATTTTTGCCTTGCAATCTGTTTATGTGATGTATCACATTTTATTGATTTGCAAAAATTGTACTAGCCTTGCATCCCCAGTGATCTACTTTTAAGTATGTTATACTTTAAAACATCCCCAACAGCCCTAGCTGGACGGTTGAGTTGGTTGGAGCATCGTTCAGTACACCAAAGGTTGGTGGGGGGTGGGGACGGGGGGGGCATGTAGCA